CGATGGATTTCACTTTAAACAAAAAAGTAAATCACATAAAGTGAAATTAAGATTGCGAATCCTCATGATTTTCCCTTGCCAATTGAACTTTTAAATCTCAGAATTTTATTCAACTTATGATAAAAGTTGTTTAACAAACGATCATAGTTTCAAATCGCTATTATTGTTTTGTATCAGCATGACAATGATCAATGAATATAACTAACATGAAGTCGAAGGGCATGTCCAGTTGAAAAAATGCTTTAGAAACAAATTCCTGTCCACAGTATGAGTCTTAATTCCAAAGTGCATCAACATGCAGCCACGCCATGAAAAATGCGCGAATTTCATTCTGAAATCATACTGACTGAGACATTAAAAGCGGGTGTATGAGAACCGATTCTTATTGCTTCACTAACGATTGTGAAACGAGGACAGAGATGCCTAGGTCAACACCTTATGAAAGAGAACATGCAGTAAGCATGATTCAGGTTGGCACCAGCAGCAGGGATATTGCTCGACAACTTGGACTTGGCCACTTCACCATCGTTAGGCGTCATAGACGACATCAGTAGACAAGCAGCACCCGTGACCTTCAATTACCTTGGCAACAACGTGTTACGACGCTCCATCAGGATCGCAATATTGACCTTGTCCATATCAGTGATTGAACACTGCAGACTGCCAGGACTGCTGCACTAGTTCAAGGTTGACGTGGTGCTCATCAGCGCTGACTCCATGCGACGCCGTCTACGCGCTACATGGTTCCATGCTCGACGTCCTTACGTTGGACCAATTCTGACTGACAGACACCGTAATGAGCGTATACAATGGGCTAGCAGGCATTTTCAGTAAAGGTAACAACAATGGTATGGTGTGGTAGTCACTGACGAGTCACGTCTTCATCTACGTAATGCTAACGGCCGATTACGTGTTTCGCGTAGACGTGGTGAACGTTATGCTGATGAGTGTGTGGTTCAGACAGACCTTTGGGTGGCGGGAGTGCCATGGTCTGGGGTGGAATAAATTACAATCACAAGACTGCCTTCATGTCTGTCAAGGGAGAGTTAATGCCCTTTATTACCGTGAGCAGATTCTCACCACCAAGATGTCCATACTTTTCAACAGGACAACGCACGGGCACACACAACAAGACTTTCCATGCAGTATCTGGCCCAGCAACACATCCAGGTTATTCATTGGCCAGCACAGTCGCCAGATGTATCCCCCCATGGATCACTTGTGGGACGAAATTGTTCAGAGTCTTTCGTGGCCACAACAGATGCGAAACATCCGGGAACTATAGGCTGTACTACTGCAGAAGTGGAATGTCATCCTCAAGAACTCGGACGCTTATTGACTCAATGAGGAGACGTTGAACTGCATGTGTCAATGCAAATGGCGGTCACACGCGATATTGACTTTTCGATTCGACCCCACGTGTGTTTGATCCTTTCTGACTGTGGAACATTTAAATGAATGAGCGTCTTTTCGGTGTTGTTGTCGTCCATCTAGTTTATTATCCACTCAAAAAATATCAATTCCTTACACGTGCTTTTAATAATCTGAACTTTTATAAGTGGTGCGTTTTCAATGATGTTCAGTATATATAACAGCCGTTAATATGGCGTTTGCTTCTATACTATGACATAATATCAATTCACACCAAGTTCAAGCAAGAAGTGACAGAACACGGAAGTTAAACACGGCTGCATTGCATAAACTGACTGAAACGTACACTCGCCACCACTACGCCTCTTCACGACCCATCCTATATACTTGTGAGAGTTTGTAGCGCCCCGGGTCTGCCGCACACTGGAATTCAAAACACCAACTCCAGTTTCGTTATCTGAACAGATTCAACAGGCAAACTGGGAAAATTAAATAAATGTATCGCTGAAATTCTGCAGCAACACCAGGTGTTACATAGGGTGTCTGCTTAGGCAAGGTACTATTGTGTCTGCTAAAGTACAAACGCAAGTACAGTTCCGCTCCACCATCCCTGGTGTCTCAAGCCGCTTTATAACGACGCCATGATATTGTTGCAGGGGCAAACGCCTACCACATCCACATTGCTGGGTTACAACGTCTTTCACTCTCAGTCAGCTCTTCATAACTCGGTTCGCGTATGGCCTCGAGGAAGACATATTCGTTAGTATCAAAACATATTTTTAAGGATGATTTGTTTTCCGGATTGTCTAAAAAGACAGTTGTTTCAGTGTGCTGGACACAGTTGACTACGTTTAAGGAAATAAACTTGAGTACGTGAACGAGTGTGTGCATGAATGCATGCATGTGGGCATCTCTTCGACCATAATGTTGCGACATAACTGGAACGCCCATGTCAAGAGCTCGCTAGATGCACTTGGATGTTGCATGTATTTGTTGGGAACATAATACATATGCACGTGTTCTTTACCACGACACAGAATGATTGTTTAGCTAGCAGGTGCTTAGAAAGAAGCACATTTGTGTAAACCTAACGTTTAAGCCATGCAACCACGGGCCGGACATCAACCTCTAGGTGGTATGCTGCGACAGGAAAGGCTTAAAACGAAGTTGCCAAACATTCTTTATGGTCATGGCCAGAAGATGTCATCGTTTTGCTTGCGCCGGCCAGGTCGTTCATGTGTGACGTCACGTCAATGCATAAACATATGCACGGAATCAAAAGAGAAGAATCCTACACAACCGGTTGATGGAGCACAACATCCGGATCTGAAGTGCACGACGCGCCCCGATTGGTTCCTGACCACCGTTAGCAAACCAGACCTGTTGTAAACGGCATCTAGAGTTCGGAAGACACGAATGGGACAGGATACGGCTTTGATGATGGTGTCGTGGTCCACAGGCGTGCAGGTGTATGTTTTACAGACGCTTGCCTTATTTAACGTCCGTTCGTTGATGGTTGGAAGTGCAATACTGTATGAGATGGCATCTCACCTCAAGGAGAACACAGCTCATCATTGGCAATTTGAATGCCGCACGTTACCGGGACGACATTGTCGTGAACATGATCTTGTCATTTCTAGCTAACATGTTTTAGATTTCATCACTAGTTTTAACTAGATTTCTGTGATATACTAGAAGTTTTACTGTTCTTCGTCAACAGGTTTTATTTTCTAATTTTATTGATATATGATATAATCATTAATTGTTCTCGTCACGATATGACTGAGATATTGCCGATGTGACGATAAATATTCACTCACTCACTCACTCGTGAACATGATCTACCTTCACCCTTTGTCCAAATTCATGACGTAACGTGGCATCCACTGCAAAAACGCCACCCACATATAGCACGTGCTGCAACAGACTTTTTGAGGCAGCCTAACATTGCCTCTGCCTCATTTAATTTCGGTCTCTAGTGACATTTGAAATAACATCCCCAAGGCTGTTTTCAATGCACAATCGCTGTCGCGCCTAAAACCAACACAAATAATGGTCATTGTTAAAAATTGACATAGTTTTAGGTCGTGTCTTTCTGTTTCCTGCCACCAGGTATGGGCTTCGTCAGTGAATTTGTACAGTATGACATTGATGAGATGACTGACTGAATATTATGTTGTCATTTTCAATGACATATTCACCATTTTATATGAAGAACAGTTGAACACAACACATAAAACAAAGTACTTGCTTTTGTTTTCACATTGTACTTTGGTTCATGACATACCTCATGTCTCAGTGTCAGTCTGGTTTATTCTCAGAGAATTGAAGATGTTATATTAACACGTAGCCACGGGTTTATCTAGTGCTATGTAGATATTACACATGCATGTTATGACCATGTTTGCCAGCTTATATATACTAGGTGGCGCTGATTGTCTCCTCGATCCTTCGTCCGGGTATAAGGACCCTTTCCCACGTCACCATTGCCAGGTCTCGTTAGACCGTTACTGGTCGCACTGCTACTGGTTGGTCAGATCGAAAGTTGCTTCCTGTAGTAAGTATTTCAGGGGCGGTTTGATCATGTACTGACTTACCTCTGAAATAACGTTATGGCCTAGGGTACCATGTTCTGTTCCCTTATTTCTGGTAATGCAGAGATAACCAATTTTCCCCAGGATTGCCTAGTTTAGGTCAAGCCCTTTTTTGTGTCGCCAGTGAAGTTACACTTCCGGTCAAGTAAACTTATGTTTTAGAAGCATGACATACTTTATTTTATGAGACATATCTTAGTTGTGTAAGAGGCATAGTTTGGGGTAGACCCTTAAAGCTCATTTTTCCCGACTGACCGTAGAGGAGGTTAGTCGCTCCATAGAATCAGTTATTTCCTAGCCGAGTTAATTGGTCACTGCCGACTTAATTGGACGTCAATTCATCTGGTCGATAGTCTTGTCATAGATAATTGTTAGCTATATTTATCAATATTGACCATACCGTTGCTTAGTTGAGAGGTTTGTATTTTTTTTATCATTTTTCTTTTAATCAGCAATCATTGTCACAATTGATTGGGGCTTTGATTCCTTTGATTGATTGCTTACTGATAGCTGCTGATCAAAAAGAACTGTGAACCGTTTCCACATTTTCTAGTGTTACTTAATCTCAGGAATCTCACACAAGGTAACACCCACAGACCTTACTCTCAATGTAAGCATGAGGTAAGACTACTTCCGTGTGCTGAGTATACATATGAAGATGAATCTAATTTGTTAAGAAACAAGCATTATATAAAGCATTAAATATTGATGCAAACAGAATGAGGTCGTCATAGCAATAACGTAACATCAATGGGTTGTTGCGATGTAAACTTGGATGCAACCAGTGTTAGTAATTCAGCTTTGTTAGCAACAGTACTAACATGTCTTTCATCTGGAAATAATGACAATCTGATCTATTTTCCAAGTCACCAGATTAATGTATTTTTTGTGATAAGTGATAATTCATATGTCCATGAAAGGCATAGGCATAATGGCCAGTGTATTGCGGAATCATAATCAACAGCAAGACCAATATATTTAGGGTAACGTCAACACACAGGGTTAAACATGAACAAACGAAAACGACAAAGCAAATGATTGTATGCTCATGCTCATGGTGTTATGTTTAATGAATACATACATAAGCTCACACGTTCAAGAGATCATCACAAAGCTTGTCGTCAACAATGCGACAGTAGAGAGATACAAAGGCTCTCAGTGACCAATGAAAGCCTGGGGCGGGCTCTTGGAGTGATTTTCCAAATATGGTATTGTACATGTGGTACCCGATCCGCCATGGAAGAAAGAAGCCATGTGCCAGATTCTGATCCTCCACAAACACATAGGATGACGCAAGGTGCCCGTCCACGACAATGTTTCCTACCAGTGTCGTCGGTGCATATGCCCCTGTGATGACTTGCTTTCTAATTGCTGTCACTTTCACAGGAACAAACGATCCATTCGTCAGCTCCGGGCGGAACAGATAATCGCCGATCTCAACCTTTGACGCCATCCGGGTCTCTGCTGAAAAGCTCCAAACTGAGCTCACAAAAACCACATGCTCCTTGCTCATTGTCAGTGTAAGGCCATCTTCAGTTTCAAGTATTATGTACTCGACCGTTGTTCGGTCCAGTTTATGCATCATCAGGTTGACATCACTGAAGGAAACCCGACCTTCCTCGTCCATGACCATGACTGTATCACCGATCATCAAGTCACCAATGGTTTTGGACCTGCCATTTTCCATCTGAACCACGGATGATGGTGGAAAACAGCCAATGTGGTATTCCGCTTCATCTGAAGTATAATCAGTAATTATCTCAAAATGGTTTCATATATCTTTGATTCTTCAGTGTATTACATCTCTATTCTATTCTGTGAGTGCAGTGTGTATTACATCTCTATTCTATTCTGTGAGTGCAGTGTGTATTACATCTCTATTCTATTCTGTGAGTGCAGTGTGTATTACATCTCAATTCTCATCCATATTTAGTGTATTTCATTGTGATTCCAGTGTGAATAATAACTTGATTTCTAGCACGACAATGTGTGATACTCGATTCTGATTGGCTGAGAGCTCATCAAAACCGTACTTAAATGACAGTTTAAGGACCGCTAATTAAAGTGACCGATTCACCGCGTATGAATACAACGAACTCGTTGACCCTATTGTTTGTAAACAAACATGTCGGACATCGGCAATTTCTATCTCGGCAGCATCTTTGGTGTTTTTGAAGTAAAAAGCGAATGGTTTGAAGAAGAATTTCTTGACCCTAATCCCAGTGAAGAAACTACGAAGCTGGAAAATCCGTCAGCAGCGCAAAAGCGGCAGTATATTCAAAGCGGGTCCAGATCTACGTGTGTTGACGTCGACAACACACGTCGGCCCACACGTCCTAACCTGACCGCTTCCGTCCCGGCCGTAATGCCCAGTCCTTCCACTTCCACTGTCCATGTATCCCACATAAAACGTGGCATGTCAGGTCTTTTCCAAATTGGGAATAGTAGGGTGGTTATCAACAATTATTTCCGTGAATAAAGTTAGCGGCGACTAAACTTAGCGAGTTCACGGCTTGCATTTGGGCGAGTCGATTGTCATACAGTAGGGGAGATCAATAATTCGCTTGAGAAAATCAAATAATTGTACTTGCTCACAGTATAAACTGTATTTTTTTTATTTATGTATGCTACTTAAATACAAATACAAGCATACTGGTTCATGAAATATAGCATTTATGTTGTTGAAAATGTCTTATTTTGTTCATTACACAACCTGTCCCTCAACGGGACGATTCCAAGCGATTTCCAGGAAAAAGGCCCCTTTGCGCCTTGTGTTCTTGCGCGCCAAACAGTTCGGTTTTAAAACGCTTATCAGTCGTGCTAAAATGATGATAAAGCTACTCTGTTTTCAATTTTGCAGTCCTTCATCGTTGTTTTAAGACCGCTAAATGTTTAATTTAAAACCTCCGCTAAATGTTCAATTTAAAACCTCACGCTAACGCGTTCGGTTTTTAAATTACATTTAGCGGTCTTAAATCAACGCCGCAAAATTCTTAAATCAACGATAAATTATGCCTTGACAAATCAACAAACATCTTGTTAAGGCAAAATGCGAAGCATATATGCACGCTATTACATCCATGTCGTGTTGGATATCTGTTTGGACCTCTCCATGTCTGAAAAGACAGGTGGTGCAGATGTACGTTTTTCATGTTTCAACATTTAAAAAAAAAGACAGTTTAAGGAACTGCAAAATCAATATTTTAAGACGTGAGTTGACATAATGTAGTCTCTGAGCTTCAGTATAAAACATTCGCATGAAACTGAATGTGACGTACCAGCTTCCATGTTGAGAGGGTGTAGAGTAATATACTCATCCCGATCAGCCCTGTTTTGTTCATGCCACATCCCAAGTGCGTGAAAGAACAGGTGCCCTATCGTATCTCTATCACCGCAGCCGTCATCGACGGCAACCTCCTGCATCCCCCCTTGTCGACCAACATAGGACCAACACCTGGAGAACATGGTGGCGTATATTTATTAATCAACAGGCACAATTGCTGGACGTCATGGGCAGATTTAATGCTGGCGTTATAGATTGGACATACTGAGGGCTTCAAATTTGCCGTCTGAAAACGAACTACACGTTATAATCTTGCCAATGTGATTTCACTCGTGGACTGAAAGAGGTCGTTCTCTGCTGTTGTCTTGTTTTACCGAACCCAAGGTGAATGTGTGATGAAATCTGTTTCGTGAAATTCCGATAACAATGTCATTTTTCGGCATGGTATATAGTCACGAGATCAAAATTGCTTTTCACAGTTAAATCACTTCACTCTGGGTTTGAGTAAGTTATTTAAAGGCACTATATCACACCACACTGGATGCATTTCTCTGAATAATACTATCAGCCCTCAGGGAAGCTACAAAATAATTTATTTTAAAATACGCATTTAGATTACAATATTAAATTAAAAAGTTCGAATGATTTAATGCAACGTTGCATTAAACCGACTCTCGGGCACTCTACCGGCCGAACATTTTTTAAAGCGAACCCCATAGAGTTATGTCCCTTGGAGCGCTCTTTACGAATACCCTTCGCACAACTTAAAAACAATTCGGCAAACACCGCGTGCGACAGTTTTCGATGTATGGAGCAAGTGTGTACATTCCATATATTCTATGTAATGTTCTCTGCTGTTCGCCAAATGTTCACCTCGAAGATTAAGTTATCGGTTTCAGGTAAGTCGTAAGGGATAATAAGTCTTTTATTGCATCAATATTAAGCTAAAGTGAGAGCATATGCCCCAATATATATAATATAGGCCAAAATATTGTCGAAAATGTGTGACATTGTGCCTTTAGCAGTTACAGTGACATCAACTACGCATTTAACATAACAACCAGCAATATATCACCCATAGTTTTATACATATCAAATATCACAGACAACTAATATTAGGCCACCACATTAGGAACCATGGTACTGTGATGAGTTTTCCTTGGATTTTATATGTGCAATGACCGGGATAAACATGCAATTTTAGGCAGTCATGACAAACTAATTGTACATGTGAACATCATGCTTGATTCTAAAAATTCAGTGGTAAAAGCATTTTAATGATAAGTGAATTTGATTTCACTACTTAAAACGTTAATCGACGTCAATATCATTTTTTATTGTTTGTGTTGCGTGAAGAAAATAATCATTGCTTGTCAATTCTTACCCGTGACCTTTCCGTACCATTATGTAATCAATGTCACCATCATTATACGGACGAAAGAATGCGTAACCTTTGATGTCCATAGTCAAAAAGTCGCCACGAACCGAATCTAACAATAAACAGGAATCAAAACATTCTCGAGAAAGTGTCGACAAGGTAATGAACAGGTATATTTGTAAGTTACTAATGAATACCGATCAACATAACTGTACCAACATTTAGCCTGGTCGCATGCAGCTTCAATGAGTTAGTGAGTTAAAATATAACGTCACCTCGTCAATATTTCAGCCATAAAGTGACGAGTAAGGTTGTGTAAAAGAAATAAATACGAGTTGTTAAACAACCAGTCGTCGAAAGTTTAAACTAGAGTAGAGTATCACAGATGGTGTGTAAAACTAGCATGTAAATCTAAAACTATTATATGTTTACGAAGACAATACAATATAAAAACAGGCCATAGGTCGCCAACAACTGAAGGTAGATCACCATACTAGGGACCATGGGGACTTACAGTGCATGCAGCTTCATAGACTACTAAGGTATTATACTGATCCGAACCATTGTCTGTACTATCTAAATGTTACATTCGAGGGCATGTGCTCAACAAAAGATATGACAAACTTGAAGACTGACATATATGAAGAGTGGGATTACCAAGATCACGCAACCCCTAATTAAACTGTAGCCAACAACGATGTACGCTTTAATGAGTGAATATAAAACATAGCATTCAGAAGAAAACTCAAAAGAAAGCAGAATATATATGAGTCTCTTGTCTCATATGAACATGTCTTTTTGAAGCAGTGATGATGCCAGGTTCTTGCAAAAAGATGGACACATACTAACACGTCAAAACCCATGCAAGGGCAAGTCAATTGTCTAGTTAAAACACTGGTACATGGCACAAGTCACAACAATGAATTGCATCGGGCATAACTTTTGTCTCATTCAGGAATGTCCACTTCGTTTTGAAAGCTTCACTTTGGCTTTGAATATTTCCACCCTAGCTTTTCGGATGGTGGGTTTGATGGTGCTCTTAGAAATCTTAAGAGAAATAATATGCTCGAATGATATTTTTCCGGTTAACATAAATATGCCTTTCAGGTTCGTTTTACGCAATTTGTGATTGCAGAACATCCATGGCGTGTAGACTTGGATTTTAAGCAGGCGGTAGAACCATCGGAATTATCTACGGTTCAACGAAAGTATTTTAAGAAGTGACTGATACCACTTGAACCTCGGAAGAAAGATACGTAACTATAGTTATGGCAACCACGTTTAGTAATCAAATGTGTGCGAGAATTGCTTGTCTGTTGTGGCTTTTAAGAATCCACATGGTATTAATTACACTCGTCTCAAATACTATCTGACGGTCCTTCATTATAAGTATTACGAATTGGTGGTGCATGTTGCATGGATGTTATGGAGAAGTGGAGCTCAAAAGCTGAATGGAAATGTCTAAGGAGGTTCTTGTAAAAAATATGTAGAAAGTAGTGATACTTGCTTTTGGCAGATTTCTGACAGTTGACATTTTTGCCCTACAAGTGGCATTATCAATATTTACCAAAATACTTTCTTCAAAGGTCACATGCAACCAAAAAAACAAACATAATTAAAACACAATTATCACTTATTCATGATATATAATATACATTGCTGATAATGAAAAACCAAAAAACAAAAAATTATAAGCGTACAATCGCAAATCAAAAGTGCAATATTTGGTACTTGGGGTTTACTTCCCTCGAAACGAAGCACCTGGGAGACCGAACCCAGTCAGAGCGGGTGGGTGTGCACTCAAGTGTAACGAAGGCTTTCATTGGCTGATTCATTTGCCGATACGCTGAGGGCTCATTGTGTGTGTATCTAGAGATGTTGGGTTTTGTAAATACATGCTCATTTTTTCTGCATTTGCGTTCGATCCAATCAACAAATACTGAGATGGTGAACTACTGCGTGGTTGGAAACTGTCGATCGTTCAAGTACAAAGCAGGACTTGAAACTGACAATCTGAGTTTGTACCGTTTTCCGTCCGATCCAGTCATCCGTGAAGAATGGATGCAGTTTGTTTGCAACCCACAGACATAATAACATGTCATGTGTACAAGTATAACACCTGCCTGTCTGTGTAATTACATAATGTGACAGAGACAGAACTCAGGTGCACGAGCCATAAAATGTATTTTGTTTATGGTGTATAGCCTGATAGGTGTTAAGTGGTCAATGATTGAAGTTGTGTATTGCATATTGTCATTAGCAGACAGGCAGGTAGACACATAGGTGTCAATAAAACAGACATTATATAATTAACATGTTTTTCTATGTTTCCATAGACATGTATTAAAACATTTCAGTTTTCAAGCTGAGCAATTTTTAACAAAGAAATTAGCATTTCTAATGCTACACTTTCTTGAAAACTTAGTTTGCAAATCTGTCAACCCCCAAAATGCAAAATGTGAAAACATATAAGAAAAAATATGGGACCAGTGTATTTTTCTTACTGCAGACCAAAGATGCTTGTAATCACAAGAAACATCTTTTGTTCTCCAACTTCGACCACAGCGATAATCCTTGCACGCATCACTTGCTGTGTTTTTACGATACGCCTTCCCGGTTCAAGCCGCGCGAACCTAATCACTGCGCATGCGCTATGGGCGCAGCGCAGCCCAGCTGTTGAAACCACTTTTCACCCCAGCGCTGGGGTGAAATTAGTGAATCGTTTGAACTCCGATTTCGCAGGGTTTTTTCATTGCGTTAATTTTCAACTTTATAAGTACTGTTGAATTTGCATTTTTGATAATTTGTTACTGTAAGTCCATACCGAAAGTATCAGAATCTGAAAAGTTGTGTTTTGAGTTGCATGTGACCTTTAAACAATTAATGCTGTGATGTTTAAAACGGTTTCTTGTCAGTGAGAACAATTACAAACATTTTGTGTTGGTCTGTCAAATATTAGATTTTTCATGGTGTGAATTCTACTTGACTATGAGAGACATTGAACTAGATCGTCGCTTCTGTTAGCCCATAAGTTGGTCAAATACAATTTGTCAAAATTTGGGATATTACCAAAAAACAGACATGAGTCATGCCAGGAACATTTGGCCAGAGGTACAGGAATATGTGCTTGACATGAGCACTAGTATCTGAAGAGCTTTTCCAATATGGATAGTGTGTCGGCCATGTCGACAATTGCAGTCAGGTTTCACCATTGATGGGAACAAACCTGTTTCAGATTCGCTGATCTAATGGTTTCTGATCTGAAAACGTTAAGGAAGAATGATGTATGATTTTGTGCATTTTGCAATATTGTATTTCCGATCAAGATGCTTCAAAGTAACCTGGAGTTACATATGGAGATCACATTAGTTACCAATTTTTATGTCTGTTGCCATTCAGTTTGGAGAAGACTACATTGTCATTTCATTAAGCGCAAACTGGCTACCTGGTGGCCATATTTAAAATACAGTTTGGACTTATTTCAAGGTCACATGCAACGTAAAACACAACTTTGCAGATTCTGATACCTTTCGGTATAGACTTACCGAAACAAATCATCAAAAATGCAAAATCAACTTATAAAGTTGAAAAATAACGCGATTAAGAAAAACGCGCGAAATCGGAGTTCAAACGATTCACTAATTTTCCCCCGACTTTTCGGGAGGCGCGAGCTTTTTATATGTTATGACAGTAAATAAACTGTTTATATAATTTCATTTGTCTATATCACCACACGTTCTTCTTACCGAGTCACTTTCTCAGTTCGATACTTAAAAGCAATGTCATTATTTAGCGTTGACAGAATTTCTAACTGTGATATAGATATGTCGTTGTCACAGACAAAACTCAATGTCTTGTTTTATTGACACCTGTGTGTCTGCCTGCCTGTCTGCTAATGACAATATTCAATACACAGCTGCTATCACTGACCACATGCAATTTGAACTTAACACCAATCAGGCTATATACCATAAACAAAATGCATTGATTTATGGCCCGAGTTCGGTCTCTGTCACATTATGTAATTACACAGACAGGCAGGTGTGATACTTGAACACATGACATGTTATGATGTCTGCTGATTGTAAAATGTTATACACAAAAAATGAGCATGTATTTACAAAACCCAACATCTCTATATATACACACACAATGAACCGTGAGGGCATCTGCAAATGAACCAGCAGTTACACTTGAGTGCACACCCACCCGCTCTGACTGGGTTCGGTATCCCGGCTGCTTCGTTTCTTGGGAAGTAAACCCAAGTACACAATCTTGCACTTTTGATTTGCGATTGTACGCTTATAATTTTGTTCATATGTTTTTTCATAACCAGGATGTGTTTTAATTATGTTTGATTTTTTGGTTGCATGTGACCTTTAAGAAACATACAAAAACAATCTGAGCTGAATCCTTCAAGCGATTCGGGAAGAAGAGGTGAAGAATGTAATAAGCCTATAGTCAACGATGGACAACTTGCGACCCAATGTGCATTGCTTTCTGGCTATGTCATGATAGTCTTGATATTACAGTAGAAGGATACACAACAAACTGAAGTCTTGGAATGACATAAAGACGTAGATAATAGAATGTTTTTGCTGGAAAAACATTCCGATGGATGTGTGCAGAGGTTACCGATCTTACCTGGAACATCAGGTGCGAATGCAACAGGCACCGGAAGACGCCAGTACTGAATGGGGATGTCGGGTAGACTGTCAGTTAAATTCGTGTCAACGCCAGTTATAAATGATGGTTCGTTTCTTTTGCCAAGTATATTCCATTTGACAAGGTCTAGGTACACGTCGATTGCTCGTTTTTGATCAGGATTCAGCTTTATATCACCCTCGAACAGTTCATGTAAAACTCCTGAGGACAATAATTCAAACAGGGAAACAAGGTTAGCGTTAACGATACAAACGATGATGTTGATATCAAACAATTTGGATTAATTTACGTGACAATTAGATTCATGTACTGTTATGTGATACTCAGCATAAAAGAATACTCAGCAGCCCAAAAAGCGTCAGTACGAATTCAAAATTAGATAGGCACTGTAATCAAATGGAAATGGACATAATAAGAGTATCAATTTTTTTATTTTTTTTGTGTACAATATCTTGACACATCAATGAATAACTCAGCACAATTTCAAGACATTACGGGAACGTTTGCAGTCCATTCAGACTCTTGACTATAATATCTAGTGTGATCCCCACGAGCGGCAATAACTGCAGCACAGCGTCTATGCATGGAGTGCACCAATCGATTGATGAAGGCTATTGGCACCTGGATCCCCACTCTGAGAAAGGCCTGGCTCAATAAATTGGCTGTGTTCGGCCTTGGTATGACATTATTCAGTTTCCTCTGAATTTCATCCCAAAGATGTTCAATTGGGTTTAAATCAGGATTAAGGGCTGGCCACTGCATAATGTTGACATCGTTCTGCTGTAGGAAGTCCGTGTAGCTCTGGCAGTATGGGCCCGGGCGTTATCATGCTGGTAAATGTTGTTCCAATGACATGCGAAATGTGGTATGACGTGGGGTCTGAGAGCTTGATCGATGTAGTGCACCGCTGTGATGCCGCCTCCTCTCCCTGGACCAAGGTTCTGGAACACCACAGGACCCACTCTCTGGTTCAGATCTATTCCATCCCATACCATGATGCTTGCACCTCCCAATGAGTCTCTTTCCATAACACATTGGTCTGAGTAACGCTGGCCACGTCGTCGCTATATTCTTGTTCTGCCATCTGCAGTTGATACGCAGTACCGACTCTCATCTGTGAACAGAACAGATCTCCATTGCCTGTATCGCCAGTTTTGGTGTTGTAGGACAAACTGTAGACGTTCACGCCGATGACGAGGGGTGAGGATTTGTCCACGGTAAGGTCTACGGCAATGGAGGTTCCCGCTGTTAAGACGTCGGCGTACTGTATAAGTACTGATTGGTCTTCCGTGTGTTCCAACTGTCTGGCGTGCTGTTTTGGATGCCTGCATGAAGGGATCCTGTACACGCTGTCGCACAACATGGCGGTCTTGTCGTTTTGTGGTCACCCTTGGTCTTCCTGTACGGGGGCGATCATTTCTGGTGTTGGTGGCCCGGAAACGTTGCTGTTGCCTGCAGATGGTCCGAACGTTGACCTGGAAGGGATTGGCAACGGCTTGTGCAGTGTCGGCAGCTTCAAGCCTTCCTAGCTGCTGGTTCCTCTGAGCTGTCGTGAGTCGCGGCATCCTGCTGAAGTTGTAATGTGAATGTTTCAACCAGGTTTGGGGGTGAATTTTATAGGGCTGGTCCTTGTGAACAGCACGTGCAGCATGAGTTGCATGAAAAACATGGAGAACACCTTACCATCTCCGAGATCAGGTTGAGTTTTTGAGACCATTTCCTGGGTTCCATTCTGAGTTTGGGAAGGAATGTCTTTGCTCAGGTCAAGTTGGAAATGTTGTCAAAAATATACAATCAAAACATTAAATGAGTTTACAGTTATCCGTATCTGCGAAGGAAAATTCCAAACTGACGTTTCTTTTGCTGCTTAGTATATATGAATGAGGTACTGGTGTGGAGGGTTTAGGTACTGTCACACTACAATTAATCCACAATCTATTACAGGATAGTCTGTATACATCATTAGTTGCATTTAGTAAGTTGGCTTGCTAAGTGAACTGAGGCGCATCAAATGGGATCGTGTTCTTAGGTAAATTTTAGGTTTGTAGGTTTGTCTGCAAGTCTATGACCTGCATCACATAGGGCTGCTGACAATATAAGGTAAATGATTTTAGGAGTGGCGACAACACAGTCACTCATTTAATACTTAATGATTTACCATCTTACCTTTTAAACGGTTTACGCGAATAATCTTGTCGAGAGGCCGCTCAGTGTATGACGCTAAAGCAAAACAAAAGGAATTCACGTTGCTAAGTCTAATGTACCTCATGATAAGTCAAATGTCAAACCAGATTATGAAACTATATACATTACTGAACATTTGAAACTGAAACATTACTGAAAACTTCGGAAAAGCCAAATGAAGGGTAAACAAACATTAAAAGGGGCTATGTCAGTAGGGTTTCAAACTGACGTACGTTGGCAGAAAATGTTTCCGTTGGTCTTGATATAACCAAACATGCATTCACATCGTTCACCAGACGCGTTGGTGACACAGATCTCGTTGACTCCACAGTTTCTGTTATTGCACTTTACTGAACAGAAAAGTTGAGGTTTAAGCATTTCAACTCATTTAACTATTCACATATTAATATTTGTACTAATTTGATGCAGTGGTGTGCAAATCAGCATATTAATATTTGCGTCAATAATCTATACTAATCAAAAAGAGTAACTGTTGCAACTTGCAGTGTGCGAGTGAATTCGCTTTCCTTTGTACTCTTTAATTCATGGTGTGTTCAACCTGAACCATTTTTCTTTAAAGTTGAAATGTCTACAATTGTCATACGAAGATTAGGCGCCCATTTAGAACTGTTCAAACATCACTTTAGCTCTACATCACTTATCCATTGTGTACGATACCATCTCGCCTCTGATTTCCCTGACATCTGCCCCCTACACTTAGGACAAGGACAGCAGCATATGTGAGTAGCCGCATCCTTCTGCTGTAACTGATAAAACAAGATTCAAATAAGACCCAGTCGCTGTGTAGACTTAAACATTGGCGTGATTATCACTAACAATTGTTTTTTAATATGGTTTGATGGCTATGGAAGTATACACGTAAAACCTGGTTTACACACTGAAAATGCCCTTTTATATTTTAATAGACGCACTAACAGTGACGATATATCAACCAATAAAGTCCACAAGTGGACATTGCCGAATTTATCGTATTTATAGAAATACAAACGCAAAACATATTGCCTGGTAGCCATTACAATGCTAGGAATCACAATTTATTCATTTTCTCATACCCTATTCATTCGTAAGATAATTTAGACTGGTTATTTCACGTTTTGAAGTGGTAAAGTGGAGGTCCGCAGGAACCATAATGGGTGTGAGAGGAAGTGTAATGGATCAGCTGATCAGACTCGGTGAAATGGTACGAATGGATGGCTGCTCACTGTTTCACTCGCTGAATCACCTCGCAAAGAGATTATGTGCATGCTGCTATCATGTAGTTTAAATGTGAACGCGTGGAGGAAACTGATCCCGGGTCTCCATCAGAATATTTGATTCATTCAGTTCACAGCCCAACTATTCCTTGAATGATAATGAAGTGGTGACCATACTTCAACATAGGATTTCATCAGATTTGACATGTATTTATGTTAGAAAATATCAACACTATGAAGCATGTGTGACCTACCTGCTGGCTGCAACAGAGCGAAGTAATGTTGGGGGAATGTAGCAGCTGTGTTGAAGATCTAGCACACTTTCCTATCATGTTTTCAAACAAATATGACACTTTTAGATAACCGGAATGTGTTATCATGTAACGGTGGATGACTAATTCGGCAAATCTATATATTTAAAAATGCACGTGCTGGCTCATGCTACACGGCGGAACTCCTGCCAGGCAACGTGCGCCTATAAACAAACCAATTTACTGATTGTGTTTAAACAGGGAACGAAATAATGTATTTCGTCTTACAAGTGCAGGGATCCCACAGTATACAAGTTAAGTGTAGGGTCCATTTAACGTTTGTAAACTGATGAAACACCTATGTACAGTACAACCAGAAATTATTGAGAATTTAAAGATTGTAATGTTTTGTTTTTCACTCATTACTCACGTATTAAATGTGAATATTAGCAGAACATAACTCCAGATTCAAAGACAAGTGAACAGTTAGTATTTTGTCAAGTCACCATGGGCAGCAATGCAGGCTTCAATGCGGCGGGGCATACCACTGATCAAAGAAGTTAGAAAGTCGTGGCCCCAATCTATCCCAATATCGGACCACCTCTTCTTTCATTTCAGCAATATTTGTCAGATTTTTCTTATTGACACTTTCCTTCATAAGTCCCCAAACATTTGCTATTGGATTTAGGTCAGGGCTATAGCTTGGCCAATCTAATAATGTCATATTTTGGGTCAGAAACCAGGCCTGTGAATGCTTTGAACGATGTTTTGGGTCGTTCCAAAAATTTCCATAGAACGCGTGAGCAGATGGAAGTAAATTTCCCTCGAGAATATCTGTGTAGCGCTCACTGTTCATATTCCCTCCAAATACACAGAGGGGCGTTGCCCCTAACACAGATATGCCACCACGTTAATTTTCGGACTGTACTTTGGGCTCTGATACAAAGGTTTTTCAGTTTGTTTGGTCCAGAATTTCAGTGTATTAGGGAACAGCCACACAGAACTTTCATCTGAGAAAATCACATTGTCCCAGTTAACATTTCTATGCTGTAAGCACCAGTTCAACCTTCGCTCCTTTTGTTCAGGTTTCATGATCGGTGATGGAATTCCTCGACTTTTCTGCCAACCCATTGCATGCAGCTCAGTTCTAATTGTCTCTTTACAGACAGCCACAGTTCCTCTATCAATCATATCCAGCCTTAAGTTTTCTCAATTCCTTCGTTTGCTTTTAGAAACAAGAATACCAAGCCGCCTCCTGTCACCGACAGCCAATTTTCTGGGCCTACCTGCGCCTCCCTGGTGCTCAATGCCATATCCATTTGCAATATTTTTCAAAACACGATAAACAGTGGACAAAGGGATGCCTGTTCAACTTGCAATCACTTCAGCTGATCTGATGTCCTTGTTATAATACTCTAAAATCAACTTCCTCTTCTCTAAATCATCCATACTGAGGATCACTGAAAATGTTCTCTGCTAGCATGTAAACAAAGGGGGGTAACTCTTCACAAACTAATGAAAAAGTATTAACAGAGTTGTCTCTCTTGAATGAAACAAAGCACTTGATAGCTGGTCAAGGTTGTTTATACTAGAAATCCAATTAAACATATTCCTAAAATTCTCAATAATTTCTGGTCATACTATACAACATGTTCTTGTCCAAATAGAGCAACATAGGGATATAATTTCTTCACATCTGTGGAAAGCGGTGTTCTTTTGAAATTGGATAAACTTTAATTCAATAGTCCATATTGTACTTTCATTTTCTCGCATCCAGCACCTCAACATGTTTTCAATATTGCCATTTGCCCGTTCTACACTGCCTTGGCCCGTTCTACACTTCCTTGGCTTTGCGTATGCCTAGCCTTTCCGTGCACATTAGATAAACTCGGCCAGATTTTAACTATATTTAACTGAATTTCATTAATCACCTCAGCAACAAATTCAAATTCAACAAAATGGTCACTTTGTAAGATCCAAGGCGCCCCAAATGTTGTAAAAATATCCACTAGTTCAAATATCACATCTACTGCCCTCTTGAATTTAAGAGGTCTCAAAATTGAAAATTTAGTAAAAAAAATAGTCAAGCAAAGTTCACAGCACATGAATGCAATCAAGAAGCTTGTGTATGTTATCATCCAGTCCCAAGGAATGGGTGGTCGTTAATCATGTTCATTCCCTGGGATTAGCAGGCCAGTCTGCGAGGCTGAGCAGGCCACCGGCCATTCACAGGGATTGGGCAACACTCTTGCCCTTACCCAGGGAATGAGCAATTCTGGGAATTGGGCACGTCATATCAGTAAGTAGTGATACCAGGCCTGTTTGTGAGTCACTAACAGCGCGCGAAAGTACCATGTGTTCGAGCCAAATATTTAAAAGAAAAAAAGGGACTATATGTAAGCATGTGTTGTGAAAAAACATTCAAACACTATTAATTAAATCAGACACTTGCAAACGCTGAATAGGAATGTCACTCACAGGTAATCTGTCCTTACAATATGTGTCCGCTGCTACAATCCATGTGCAGACTAGTCGAGGTGAAGCGACCGACATCATAAACAAAGTTACGTTTAGTAAGTGGGGCCTTCCTGATCCTGTCGTCTGGGGCTACTGTAGCTGCTTCCTTTTGGCCTGACAGACCGCTTTCACCTGGTTTAAGGTTAGGTAGCACTGTACTCGTTCTAGATATTATTCAAAAGCTTACATGTTGTGATACAACGGAAATGATTTTTATCCAGAGCATTGTGGTATAAATCGAAAACCGATGTGTAAACTGTAAGAATCCGCGCGTACAATGATGAACACCACTGAAGACACCAGGTGTTCGCGTATATAAAACATGTTCTGCTCAACCTTGGAATCAGCCAGTCAAGTTGCTTCAGAAAGTAAGTATTGATACTGATGCCGCATGGTAGTCCTAGAACAACCAGATAATCACGTGGTTGATATATACGTCATCGCCAGAATAACCAGCCTCGATTTATCCACCGAAGTCTTCAATGTATACTAGAATTAAATCCTAATATCGCATTTGACCTTATATATCACTCCTTTCAGCCAAAGCGTGTGCCTGTTTTATGTTATGGATAGGAATTATGGGGGCGTGTGGAACACAAGGGTATTGAAATGTCAGTGTACGATTTAATCAAATATACTCTTAATGCCAAAGTTCCCATATCATCTGCTTTCATTTGGGGAGAGTTGGCAGTATATACAAATTTAGCTACAAGACCTTTCACAATAATGCAAAGAAGGCTTAGAATCAAACTTGGAACAAACCGATATACAAATTAAATGTAGAGGGCACGATATTTAATAGTATATCAGATTCAAATGAGGAAAACCAGGTAGCATTAGGACGGTAGATAAACATAATCTTTCTATAATCATGAGCATTATAGCGACAACACCATCTCCATCATCATAAGAAATAACTGCTAAAAGCAGAGCCCACTGTATTATTCGGACACATAGTGTTGGAAACAGAAGGTGTTGCCTTCGTCTGAATGACCTTGCGTTAACCGTCAGACACAAAACGAATTTTAGAAAATTATAACCAGAGAATTTCAGACATATCGTTCGTTGTTTCAGCATGCAGGCCCAGCTGCGAGTGTTCTGGGAAAGGAATTTTCTGTGTCATACATTGTCTTCTCGCTTCCGCTTTGAGTGTATCTTCTGTACACTTTGACCAATAGCCGACGAAAGAACTTAACTTGACTTGTCAGCTGCCTATTGTTTGTCTTGTCACTTCAATCACCCATATCAGTGCCGGCTGAAGACTCTTCAATCGAGTCGCAAAGCCCTAAATAGAACATTGGAAGAGACGATTCTATTTAGTTTGGACGTTGAAGCAATTTTGTTTAAAAAAACTTTAAAATCCAGAATGCTTGAGATAACTTATGCAAAGACATTATTTCACGGTTAATGCCAGAGTTGGTGAATATTGTTGTAATAATTCAGCTCCATGATGGAGACCACAAACCAATCATGTTTGGACGATGCCAACCAATGCAGGAAAGATGAGCATCGACCAGCCACTGAGAAGATCGATTACGATTAGCTAAGAGACACAGCCTGAAAGCATGATCCATTTTAGCTGTTCCTTGTTCAGAGACTAAATTAATAGAATCCATATGGATTCCCCACTGGGCTAATGTCATCAGTTTGATGTTACCTATTATTCCCCAGAACAAAATGAATTAATAACCTAATAAGATTGAAGACGTGTATCTGTATTTCTCAAAGGCATACAATGACAGTTGATTAATTTGTTATTGATTTGTCACAGTCATCTCTATTACATACATGACAACCTTTCTGTCATTACGTCTTGTTTCAAAGACATGACCTTGGTCGGACTAATGTCTTGTTTGACATTTCAGAGCGGTAGAAGTAATCTTCTAACGTTACATTACCCATTCTGTCCAGAAAAACATACCCCATGCTTAGAGTTGATCTCTGTCCATTTTCCGTTTCGATTATGACATAATTGACATACTCCTCATCCAGTTTCTACAGCATTAGATGTGCATCACTGGAGGCTATTTCCTGATTTACATCCATCACAATGACACTGTCGCCAATCAGGAGATAGTTCATAGTCTTTCTGTCGCCGTTGAAGAGCTGAACTGTTGCAAGCGGGAGAAGGAATCACGGACTTTGTGCTACTTATGCCATATTACGTACATGACAATGTGACGCTGTGTGAATTGGATGAATGCGGAGAAGGCTTTCCAATACATGACGAAACTGAACAGAAGCCATTCAATCAAAAGGTGACTTTGCAGAACGATAAGTGGCGTCTTATACCCATGTTGTCATTAAAGAAATGTCTTTGCACAAAACATGGATAGCCTGTCAACGCGAGTTTCATGCAACAGTGAGTGAGTGAGTTTAGTTTTACGCCACACTCAGCAATATTCCAGCTATATGGCGGTACCCATTTGGACCTTTCAAAGCAAGATATTACCAGTGTAAATCAATTAATGCTGTTAGATGAACATATTGCGTAACAGTTCTAGGTCTTCGGGGATCATGTTGGAATCTGAAAAGAGACCTCGTCACTCGGGATGAAGACTAAGCT